TGTGTGTGTGTGTGTGTGTGTGTGTGTGTTTTAGTTGAACACACTGCCGGATTCAAAATTCGTCTTTGGAAGGCAAACTCCATGTTGTGGAGTTTTGAGGGCCTACGTTTTTATCTGATTACAGTAGACTATACCAAGAAGGAGACGGACGGAAGACACTTATGTATGTAGAAGCAAAGATGCCGTTTCCATGCTAAAGAGATTAGGGCCTCTGAGTGGCACCCATCAGCTCTATGGTGGCACCCAATGTTTAAGCTGCGTGGGTGGCACCCCACAAGTGTAGGTGGGATTGCGCCCCCTGTTGTAGGGACAGCATGCCATGTCTCTTGGGACAATGTCATATTGTCCAGGTGATAGTCCAAGAATAATATTATGACGTCTAGTGGTTAGGCTTCCGAACGCGTAGATCTAACCGTGAGGTTGAGGGCTCGAGGGTTCGAGCATCAGCTCGGTCCGACGTTGTGGTCTAGGGAGAGACACTTTACGCGAATTTCACACTTGGCTTGGTACTTTCGGAGATGAACGTTATACTTGGAGGTCCCACTTCTCAAATAACCTAATAGTGTTGACAGGGGCGTTAAACCTATACCATCTCACCATTTCATTTTGATCCAATAACAGGAGGGACGTCCCGTTAGATAAATCGACTTTATAGTTTAGTGGATCGAAGTGTGAGCAACCTTGGTTCGATTCCACAATTGAACAATTTGGAACTTATGTCGCGTGAGGAGTTTTAATTTCTTCCTTCCTGCTCTATTCGGATTTGCTGAGGGTTAATTGATCAATGAATATAGTCTAAATAGTGTCGATGGGGGCGTAAAGCCTCTATTACAGTAATGTCTAAACACAACGTCGTCTTGCGTACGACCTAGACTCAATAAACTAAAATGTTTAGTGCTTTTTTTACAGCCATTTCGCCTTCTGCTCATAAAGCAATGTTATAATGAGTTATGAAGAGAAGAAAAATAACTCTCCGCTCGTTTGCGCTATTTGCTTTCTTCACTGTTAATGTTATGTCCATCAACATTTGAAGTCGACAGCTCAGTGCAAGAAACCTGTACGTCATGTAGTCTTTTCTTTTTGGGAAATTTTTTGTGTGTGCGGAAGCCAACCCCCCAATTGAATTTTTTAAAAGAAAGCAAAAAAAGAAAACATCTGAGTATTATTCTTATTCTGTTACTTAAACGAAACTATTCAGCTGTAGTGCATTTTCTGTCATCAGTACTATGATCTAAACAAAGCAAATGCGCATGAAGAAAAGCTAACCTCTCTGTCACTTAATTTTAAAAATCGGGGATTTTTTTGTATGAAATTATGGGGAACTTGTTTCAGGAACTGAGCTGTCGAAGCATCCATTTGTGTTGTTACATTGTTTTAACAATACACGTCGTTTTCACCATTAACACCGTATCTCTCATTTTATGATTTCTGTGTTTAGGGATTTAGGTAGTCCTAATTGGTCGCTTTTAAGCACAAGGGGGCTATCCCGTAAAATCTGTTTTGAGAAAAGCGAAGGTAAAGTTTTTGCCCCTTTAAAAGACAAGGAGAGTTTTCTCTATAACCAAACAAAGATATGCACCAATGAAAGCAAACTTCTCCTCTAGGTAGGGCAATGTCCACTTTTTATGTAGGTAAAGATTTCTGGAAA